AGAGAGAGAGAGAGAGAGAGAGAGAGAGAGAGAGAGAGAGAGAGAGAGAGAGAGAGAGAGAGAGAGAGAGAGAGAGAGAGAGAGAGAGAGAGAGAGAGAGAGAGAGAGTATAGGGAGAAAGAAGAGAGAAGAGAGGGAGTTTTTCTCTTTGATTTTTTTGTGATTCCCCGGGTGATTTTGGAATGAATGGGATTAAAAGAGAAAGTTTGTTATATAGCAGCAAAAGTTTGTTATAGTTGAAGCAATCCTGTCCTTCGAATCAGAAAATCCAGCTGGAAAATGGATGGTGAACATCAAAATAATATTGAAGTTCGTTTGAGATTTTTTTTGGTTTTCTCTGATTTGATCCAAAATACAAAAAGTGGAAATTGCGTTTTATTCCTTGCAGCTCCTCAATGATCTGCGTTTTGATGAACACGAAGTGAGTGGAAATGAGAGGAAATAAGTGTGAATGTTGAGGTGTCCAACTGATGCACAGGGAATATGTGATATTTTTGAAAGAAAGTTGCCAAGAATGGCAAGGCACGAGGGAAGTAAGGTGAGGCATGGTGCGTGAGAATGTTTAGCCAAATGAGGTAAGAAGTGAGGTGGGAGCTGAGTGCACACGTGAGACACTCGTGTGTGATGAAATCATTTGAAACCAAATCACAAAAATGTATTTTATGTCAAATCTGGTGCTGATGTGCAGCTGGCTCGGCCATGCCTTGCATCTTGTGTGCCATGCCTGATCAATTGAGGATGCCCATTTTCAGCATTTATAACTTGATCAAACCCTAACCATCTCCAATAATTCTTCTCACAATGGAAATCCAACATGTAATACTTCTAATTAAACCTAAAATAAAATCGAAACCTAGCTTGAGTTATAAGAAAATGGATTTCACATTTGGTGTGCCATCTTTTTGATGAAATTCCTGGGCAAGATGCCTCAGGATGGTCGTGTGGCTCGCCCATGATGCCCAACGCTTGACCAACTTGCCCAAAACTTCAAAGGCTTATAACTTTTGTTTTGAGTAAGAAGTGTGTTTTTGTCCTTTGTTGGGCCTTGTAGATCTTTTTCCCCTCTTTAATTGGCAAAAAGAACCACCAAAATCCCCTAAAAAATGAGAAAGTTATGCCCTTGTAAAATCAGGCCTAAATCAAGAACACTTAGTGAAATTTTCAATCACCAAGATAACTTCAAATCCAAGTAACTTCTTAAACTTGCAATTCTCATCAAAATAAATCATCAATGATCATCCCACATTAAAATACATATCAAATGCTTCATGTTAACCAAAAGTCCACTTGGTCACCTTTGGCTTTGTTGACTTTGAGTAAAAATGATTGTTTTGCCCCTTTGATTCAATTAAACCACTTCTCTTCAAAATTGGTGATCAAAACTTCAAATATATGATATTCCAAACACATAGAGTCTATGGAAGGAGTTTCCACTCAAAAATTCCAAAGAATCCATGATTAAAACTCAAACCCTAGTTTTGACTGATGAATCAAAAAGAAGTGATTCTCCTTATAACAGCACAATACTCAATCTTCTGATGATCCAATGAGGTGGATAAGACATCTTGAGACATGTGGTACCTTTGGGCTTGAAAGATCCATAAGTTATAGATAATAAGGCCCTCCTTGAGCAACTTGTCAATATAATCAATCTTCCAAAACTTGAGGGAGGCTTGATAAACAAAATACCTTGATCCCTACACCATGTATGAATGCCATGCAATATGATGTTTATGATGAAACATAAGTCTAAAAATTCTGAAATCAAGAGGGTAAATTTTGGGGTGCAACAAGCTACTCAAACCGACAACTTCACGGTCCACCAGCAGCGCTGAAACATCCCAACTTTCTATATTCCATCTTCTAAAAATTATCCTGGTTACTTTAAAATCACCTTCAGGAACATCATGTATTTACACTCTACTCGTATATCAACAATCGTTACATTGCTCCTCATCCTTCGAGAAGTAAACATTAACAATGTATGATCGTCCTCCCTCAAGACGCTCTTACTTGATTAACAAACAAAATCTTTAATCCATGTCACCTTCGGATTCGGAAACCAACAAAACTTTAACAATACTTGCATTTTCGCAATCAAACCAATCACAACAAACATCTTACAATCGAAACATATCTGAGAAGAAAAGCTTCTCCCCCACTTATCTTCAAACCAACTCCTGCATACAATCGATTGGAAAATCAAACAAGCACCGACAGTGTTTCAAACACTCGCTGCATACTAAGGAACAAACAACATTAGACAACTTGGCCAGACGGACCGACCTGCTTTGATACCACTAATGTTACACCCCATTTCTACCTAGCGGATAATAATAAAATCAGAGTTCAACATAAATAGGATGCTACATTTTCAACTTAAAATCAAACTTCATTTAATCACATATAAAACAGATACATAACACTTAATTCGGATGAACCGATAACAACCTGATTTATTCTTAAAAATTAAATAACTTTTATAGATAAGCAGTGGAATCTACATACTCAACTTAGATTCACTTAACATCTTTTATTCAACTAAAACAACCTCAAGACAACAATTATTTCACGTAACCAACTTAAAAATTCAGCAAATGAAATAAATATCAACAACTAAACATCAAGCGTTCATCCCCCCGAGTGCTACGTATCAGAGCGATGACACCGACTCGAACTAATGAGGTAATAACTATCCTCCTTGATTACCTGCAAGTTACCAACAGAGGACAACATTCAAACAGAAGGGGTGAGATATCGAACTATATAATTGAATGTATGATAATTAATATATCAGAATCAGTTCATATAAAATCACCACTTCACAACTTATACACAACAACTATTACAACAAAGCATCAACACGACATAACGACTAATTCACGGCTTTTAGATAATACCCGTCACAACAAGTCAACAACATAAAGCAACAAGAAATATATCATCACCACAACTCAAGATGCAACTTCAGATGCGACTCAATTACAATGCACATGCATGTGGTACCATTGGAGCAGAACTCCCAACTTAAAAATGGAGCAGAACTCCCATCTTAAAAATTGCCAATTAATAGAGACATCAACAAGGCATAAGTCTTCTTTGCAGTTTTCCAATCCAGGCCATCACAGAGTATGCAAATTTATGTGACTCAATGAATGCACTATCACATACTCACAATAATTATCATCCATCGCAAGGCATAAGCTCACATCAGCATTATTACCAGTAAATAGAGGTAATTCATCATCATCTAAAATTGTCTGCAACTTCACATTATCAACAAGAATTCACAGGGACAATCACAACAACATAACATCTCAACATTAGCCATAGGCCTACAATTTTATATTGCCAATAAATAGAGGAAGCATAACAACAACAACAACAACAAACATTAACAACAACATAACCACAACTATTCAACTTTGGCAACAAGCCTACGATTTGATTCTTGCCAATAGTTAGAGGCAATGCAACAAAATTCACCACCTACAACTTCATAATTAACCACAACAATTGTTCCGTATAATTATTTGGACAAATCGACCAAATCCTGCAAATTAATTAATTATCCACTATTATTCTATTACTAATAACCTTCTGTTACAAATCCACATCTTAGTCTCTACCTTACAGCAACTTATACAATCCATCGTCTCAACCGTAATATTTTACAAACATTATGCGTAATTATTCGGAGAATTCAACTATATCCGGCTAAATAATCCTCTACCAAAATTGCTAGTATTTCTAATTTGTAGTATTATTAGGACCATCATGCTACTGTTATTTCACAAGCTCTGCTACTTGTAATTACAACCTACTAGTATGAATTATCCTTGCTATCGTTTTACTGTTAATAGCCTTCTGCTATTGTTTTCAACAATTATATCCTACTGCTACTAATATCTAATACTCTTATATTTCCTTGTTGCTCTTATTTAATAATATTTCCTACTAGCATGTTCTACTAATATGATTTGTCAATATTCCACTAATATACTAAGGAAATTCTATACTAGTATACTAATTCCATTACCAAAAAATATAAATAGGCAACTCTTCTCTGAGTGCCCCTCGGCATACATTAACATCTTTTCCTTCTAGGGTGCCAATCAGCATCCACTTCCTCTCCACATGTGTCATTCAGCACAATGCTTCTTCCGGTCGTCACTTCTTTTTCCTGCCTGTGCCGCATGGCACAGACTTCTCCCGTGGCTTCTGAAAGTTTTTTTTTCTTCTCCAAATTTTTCCTTCGATTCATCAGTTTACCAATTTCAACAGCACAACACATTACCACAACAACATAAAAAATTATATCAACATAGAATAATTTCTCACAAGAAAACCCCATTTGACAGAGACAACAACATATGAACACAATTACTCTGCAACACAATCGACACAAACATGAATAATTTCATACAAATCTAACCCCACATATAATTTATCATATACCCAATTATAGAGCAAGAACCCCACCCTTACCTTGGATTGGAGACCACTCTACTCTACTGGTTAAACCTCGTTTTTCCATAGCTTCCAACCTTTACATCTTCCCTGTAACTTTGCAACTTCTCACGTTCCCATAAAATTCTCCAAGACTTGTTCAATTAACCTAATTCTCCTTATAAATAGCTTAACCTTATAATTATTATTATTATTATCGGGCCTAGCTTTCACACCCCCACCTTTACTACATACAACCATATAATTAAGCCCAACAATGAATATTATAACCATTCTAACATTATTATTAATATTAATGCTAATATTAATCAACCAAATAACAACTTAGCAACTTAAATCAACATTTCTTGATATTTCGTAACTTCAACAATTTCAACAACATTCTCAACCATTAATCCGTAATTAATTAAATTAAATAATTAATTAAATTAACGGGTGTTACATTGATCATCATCATTCTCGTTTTCATGGCCAGCTACATTCCTTTGATAAAATGACCTGTCTCTAGGCCATGTAATGTGCATCTGAAATTACTCCGTAGTCCTGAAATGATGGCTTTCATCGGGCTTCCCTCCTAGCTGAATGTGCAACCAGTAAAAAGAATCATGTAAATAAAGATAAGCCCTATGATTGGAATCATTTTGATCCCAAGTATAGGTAAAATATTGGCGAAGTCTCGGGTCCCAATCATCATAATTCAGAGTGTTGGATGAAGTCTGCCCCGTTTGCTCTCTGTGCCTTCTTTTATTTTTCTTTTCCAAGCAATAACTTTCCACATATGTGTCATTAACATTGGTTTTAATTATAAATGGTACTAAATTTGGAATTTTACTTGGGAAGCAATTAGCAATCCCATGATGAGATCGGGATAGACAAGAGGATGAGTGGTTCTGGTTCCATCCCCAAACTCGTTACCGTTTTCTGCAACATTTTTCATTTTGGTAGCAATGATTTGACCGATATCAACTCGCCTACCTGACATGAACAAATACATAAGCTGACTCGTATCCATTGTGAAGGTGGAAGTGTGGCTTCGTGGTCGGATATTATGCAGAATGATCAAGAGGAGAACTTGAGCTTCCGGGATTAAATCCTCCCTATGATATGTAACTGATGTACCGATGGATTTTTTTCCACTACCCTACCTTCCAAAAGAATTTTCTCAGAGATCACCGCTTCATTGGGCATCTTATTAATGGCTTCTTGATAACGGCATACCTGCCCTTCTTGCAAGCTAGGAGTTCCAAAAATTTCAATAATAGCATCCATATGAAATTGAATCGTTCTTCCCCCAATATTGGTTGAGAAAGAGAAAGCAGTTCCTTTCGAGGTAAAAGCGCTGGAATAGAATTCCTGAAGTACCTCAGTGTTGCTTTTTCGGTGAGGATTCATAAGCTTATCCCATTTAGGGATGGTCCACATAGGTAAGGACTTTTAGGTTTCTTCAAGATTAATCTCAAAGATTATTTCATACCAAATAGATCTTCCCAAAAGTTCTTGATACCTATCTTCTTGTTCCGGTCCGATGATTTTTGTCTGATCAAAGGGTTGTTGTCCCCTTAATGTTCCATCCTCTGAGGTTTTCTATTTCTTTGAAGCCACGTCTCTATTTAGAGCCATTCCTACAACAAAAGATACCAGAAAATTGGTCTGCTAAGACACTGATTTTTCTGCATCAGGACATGTTCGCTTAGCGAACTATAGTTTGCATAGCGAACTATAGTTTGCATAGCGAACTCAGATTTTTGGAATTTTTTTGGACAAATTTCTGCTTTAATGCTTCGTTTCACTTTTGGTTAAAACAAAACAATAATGTAATGATACTTTGTTTATGTTGTATTTCCTAGATCATGAGCGTAGTATAAACATGATGGTTTAAACAACATAAAGCATGTACTAAGAATATGAAAGTTTCAACCATGGACACACATCAATCTAAACATTAGAATATTTAGCAGAAAAAATTAATAGCATGTGACAGATCTAAAAAACATGAAGACATAGCATACATAAGACGAAGATGATAATAGTTAGAGAAATCACATACCTGTTGCTTGCTAAAAAAATTGGAGATGGATAAGAGATTAGGGTAGAGTGAAAAAGTGATAAAAGTGAGAGAGTGAAAGTGTGAATTGAAAAGTGAGATAAGTGAAGAGTTTTCTAGGGCTAGAGAAGATAAAAATAATTAAAAACAGTAAAAGAAATGCTATAATTGTGACATAAAGGTGTTGCAGGTGAGTAGGTGGTGCTTTTAATGTCATAAAGTTGTGTTTGACTAGCGCATGTTCACTTCGCGAGTAAAGTTCGCTTAGAGAAATTTTCGGGCTTAGACGTTCTCATCACAAACTGATGTTCGCTTAGCGATCTATTCCATACAAGAATTCTGTAGAGTTTTAAACCTGATGTGCCAAGAACCTTTAATGTAACCTATCATAAAAACAATAAAATACTTACAGAGTCGGTTGCCTCCCGAAGAGTGCTTCTTTAACGTCATTAGCTTGATGCTTTACCACTTCTATGGTTCGTGCAACAGAATTATTGTGGTGACTCGATCAATCTCACCACCTAAGTACAACTTCAATCTTTGGACATTAACTGTCCAAGTTGCATTGGTGTTTGGATCTTCCAGTTCAATAGCTCCATAAGTTTTGACTGAGAATGACTGATCATTGACATTTGACCTAGTACATGACATAATGGCTTGAAGCATGACCTTAATGATTCAAACACAATGTCTTGACCTAATTTCATGGCTCAAATCACTTCTCAAGATCAAGGGGTTGATAGTTGAATTTGGATCAACTGATGAAAAGTCAACTAACACACAAAAAAGTCAAACTTTAACTTTTCGGTCAACATTGAATTTCAAAGATAAAAATTCATCAAAGACATTCAAAACTATTAAACTTGATCACCAAGAATCAAGAAAGTCAACAAAAGTCAACAAAAGTCAAGATTTCCAATAGAAAAATTCTAAGTGTTTTTAACCTTGATAATTTCACTACTTCATGACAATTTTTCACCAAGATGAAAGATGATTCAAGGAAAACTATCAACATGAAAGTTGTAGACCTTTATGAATTCTACAACTTTGTCCCTTAGGGTTGATGTCCAAAAATGCATAGATTAAGAGATATAGGCCCATGAAATCATGACATTTTTAACAACCTTAGTGAAATTTTCAACAAGTTTGGTCAGATTTTTGTCCCAACTTCTTGGAAATTTTTCATCTAGTTCCAAATTGATTTTGCCAAAGTGGTCAACATAAAGGTTGTATACAATGTTTCAAGCTTTCCAAAAAGTCCCAGAACTTTAAGAGATCATTTTTAAGCTAGGAGAATCGAAGAGAAGAAGTTGGACATCCATTCTTGAATTTTAGGTCATTTTGTGATGAACCTTATGATCCAATCTTCAAGCATGTTGCATAAATATTGCTTTTGTAGGCTTATAACTTACAAATCAATCCATAATTAATTGTTTACACAACTGATTGAGCTATGATCCAAGTGCTTGAGCCATTGTCCAAGTGATTATTCCATTTTGGCACAAAGTTAACATTCTCATTCTTGAAAAGTTGCTTTATACACAATGTCAACTCTCCTTGAGCCCATACATTATTGCTTCTGATTCTAAAACATTTCAAAGCAAGAAGTAACCATCTACAAGCCTGTCAACCACCCTATAAGCCCTTGTACTATGCATTAAAACTATGCATTTCAAGTTTGCTTCAAAACCAAGTCACATAACCATAACATGTGATCTCTTGATTCTGATTACTGCAAGTTCTAAAACCTTTCCTCTATAAATAGATAGTTTGTTTTAAAGCCATAGCACGATTCCAGTAGCCCTCTAACCCTCTCAAACTCCCTAAAACCAGAAATTGCATCAAAACCTCCATTACTTGTCATTTCTTTGAATTCCAAATACACAATCCACTCGTGCGTTTTCACTTTTAATCAGTCACAAAGCTTATGTAACTCATATAGAGGATATCCAAACACTTACTACACAACTGTAACTCTATTTGCACCATCCTCCATTTCCAAAAACAACCACATGCAACTTGACTTCTCCAGAAAGATTCAGACACTTTCTACATAAAGTAAGCATTGCAATAGCTTCCTAGGAGTTCAGTGAAGCTATCCAGATCATCACAACACCTCTAGGAGTGTTCAAACTCCAAACATGATTTCCAGTTTTGAGGTAAGTTTTCTAAACTTTGAACTCTCTATACAAGCATCATTAATGGTTACTTTGTGAATAAAAATGTAGACATCATTGCCCTGAAGCTGACCATCCCCTTAGTTTTCATTTAAGTTAACTGTGCCTGGAGAATTTTAAAGTTGAACTTTCAGAAAAATTAGGTTTTTATTTGGTACCAAACAAAATTCATGCTCATCTTTGATTTATAGTTTAAGTTGTTTACATGGCTGAATTTGTGATGAAATTTGGAGCAACTTTCATGTTTACATTTTTGAAAGTGGTTGGGAAATGAAGAAGTTACAGTTTTGAGCAATGGAGTTGTCATCCCTGTGCGCGCGAAGGAGGAAGAAGATGAAGTTCAAAATTCAGAAATGAGTTTATTTTATATTTAGTTGAAGTTGTATTATGAACGGATGAAACAACCACCCCAGTGGCAGAAAAGCGCACGCTAAGGCATTTGTATATAGGGACCTGGGTTCGATCCCCAGCGGTACCCTTATGTTTATTTCATATTTTCTTGTCTTAGATCATGTTCAGATAAGCCTAATGCACGCACCATGCGCCTCTCACCATCACCATCAGATCTGCCAGCCATCAAGTCTAGCACTCCACATGAGTAAGTCTATGGTGTACTCCAAGAAATCAGCAACACTAAATCAAACAAAACTCTGGGCCTCCCTTGTGTTTGGGCCCTTTATTTTTTATTTTTTCTATTTTCTTACCCCCTGATTACTTTTTAACACAAGCCCATTTTTTTTTATTTCAAACACAAAAACTGACTTTTTTGGACTTAACATTTTACACCCCCCATTTTCCTTTTTTACAATACCTAGGCCCAACCCTTTTTATTTATTTCTTTATGCATTCTTCTTATTTATTTATTTATTTTATTTATTTAATTAAAAATACATAAAATATATTTTTCTTAAATGATTGGATTTATTTATTTTATTTTACTTCATTTTTTTCCAAACAAATAAAATATAAAAAAATACTTTCTAAACAATTAATTTCTCTTTAGATTTAGGTTTTCCTATATTTAAATTATTTATCCTTTTAATTAATTTTTTATCTTAGTTTAATTTACTTCTTTTAAACACAAAGTCATTTAATTAAATTAGTCTTCAAACCTTTTCCATCAAAAATCATCAAAAAAATAACAATTTCCTTTTTCTTCTACTTTACATTCTCGCTCATTTTATTATTTCGCCTTATTTATTTAATGGATTTTAATATATAATTAGGGCTTTATTTCTTTCCTCCCCTCATTCACAAAATTGTACCCCACATTCCCAAAGCGCTGTAATAGCGTATGACCTTTAAATTTCACAATTTATCGTTTTCCTTATTATTGTTAGTAATTAGGGTTTGTATGACAAGACTTAAAATCAAACATTAGACAACCCTAATTCAAGATAAAAATACATGAAAGCAAAACACCTTGCATACATGTACCTCTAGGGTTAACCTCACTTGTTGTCTCAGATATAAAGAGTCATGTCCCTCGAACGTGAGATGTTTTAGCAAAGACCCTCGATTAAAAGATTGTTAGTCCCTCGATGACCCTTCGATATTTCCTTCAGTAAAAGATCTTAGTCCCTTATGATAATTGCTAAAACATCTTACAAGTTTCTTTCTATGACTGTATTATGACTCACGTTTGTCCCTCACATCCAATGATATGGCTCTCGACCAACCAATGGTGAAGTAGCACTATCTAAAGGAGGAGGAAAAGAACAAAGACTTTTTGAGTAGGTAGATTACTCGTAATTGCTTGCTCACAAACTAAAACCATTTTCACACCTCACA